AAAAACAATGATACATGCTAGATTTCCATATAGATCTCTCTTCGACAAATGATGCTATTTTCAGGGCAACAAGAAAGAGTAGGGGAGAAAGAAATTTGGTTGGAGGTGCCTGGAGAGATAAAAGAGACGTGTGAAAGTAGCTCATCAAAGCCCACTTTTTAGCAGCCACCTGTTGTTGGCAGAGGCAAGATGAATCACCAGTTTGGTTCCATGACAGCTTTTCTGAAATGAGAAAAAAGGGCCCCAGTAAATGCATGCAGCCTATTCCCATCATCCCTTTAATAACCTGTAATATTGTAGCAGGATATTTTTGTCACACACCGAATCTGATTGATGGTCTTGGCTATAAGACATTACAAGTGTCGAGTAAATTGACCGAACACCTAAACATACAAATTATTAAAAGGAAGGGGGAGCAGCCAGTGGCCCCCCTGGGGAAAGCAGGCAGGCTTTAGTTAAGATGATCCTATTTCCAAGTGCAATTTATAGTCTATTGACTTGTGGCAGTGTCTTTCTAGATGTGAGGAAATTGTCATACATTGCAAATGAGAAGCTGTTTTGACACCAGGAATCTCAGCGCGTGCCGGGGAGAAATGCTATCGGCCGCCTGGCCTGTTAAGGTTAAATGAAGTTGCATTGTTGCCCACAGACAGGCGTTCATTTCCTTTTCTTCCCTGCGCCATCCCCGTGTACAATTACTCTGATTAGGATGAGCAACACTGTGCTTCTGACACCCGTCGTGTTGACAGCGTGCAGAGTTTTCCACTCAAGTGGCGCCGGTCATTACTTAGACTCTCGAGACATTGTGACAGGGAGACAGACGCATGCCTGCCAGTCAAGTACATCAGTGACAAAGAGGGCTCAGACCCTAGCCACATACCTCTAAATCAAAGCAGTCAAAGTCATCTCCACCGGAATGTTAGGGACTTCATCCAGGGTGTGACACTCACAGCCTCTCGTGGAAATTTCTGGGCCTGGTTTGTTGGCTCTCTCCCCCGGCAGCCCTCTTGCTCTCTTTTCGCATTTTATTTTAGAATCATTTTGCAAGGTAGTTCATTTGTTCATTCAGCACAAACACTGACTGTTGACTCTGTTTACCTAGAGCACGAGGCAGCGAAAATGACCACGTCCCTTCTCACTTGGAGCTGGGCAGTTTTCGTTTGGGGTGTGCCTTGGAGAGGCCTCTCCCAAGAGGGGACATTTGAACAAACCGTTGTATCGTGCTCATGTGGGTTGGAATCCACATGGGGGTGGGCACCGTGAAGGTTCAAAGGCAAGTAAAACATGTTCCCTTGTCTTCAAGGTGCTTCCTGTTCAGTACTAAGGATAAAATATCCATATCAATCGATTCTTAATCCAGACTGGTGTGCCAAGCTGCCATCACAGAGGTTCAAGCAGAGTTCTGTTGGAATTCTTCCCTTTCTGTTCATCTCACAAATTCCCAACTCTTCCTTTATCCATTTCTTGGGAACAACTCCTGAGGATGACTCTATTGCCCTAATTCTGTGTCAATAATAGTACCCACAGCAGATGTTTTAGGAGTTGTCATTAGCTCTAGCTCTTTTTTTTTTTTTTGAGACAGAGTCTTGCTTTGTTGCCCAGGCTAGAGTGCCGTGGCATCAGCCTAGCTCACAGCAACCTCAATCTCCTGGGCTGAAGCAATCCTCCTGCCTCAGCCTCCCAAGTAGCTGGGACTACAGGCATGCGCCACCACGCCTGGCTCATTTTTTCTATATATATATTTTTAGTTGGCCAATTAATTTCTTTCTATTTATAGTAGAGACGGGGTCTCACTCTTGCTCAGGCTGGTTTCGAACTCTTGACCTTGAGCGATCCTCCCATCTCGGCCTCCCAGAGTGCTAGGATTACGCCACCGCACCCGGCCTCCCATGATTGTTTTTTAAAACACTCAGGAGAGAAAAGATCCCTTTTAATTCTGGTTTCGGCATCCCATTCATAATGGCTGTGAAGAACCCAGAGTCTCCTCCCACACAGGAGTGTTTATTCACTTCACGCCTGTACTCTCCCGCCCTCTTGCATCTTTCTGCAAACATTATCCGCTTCATGTTTCTCTCCACAGAGCTTCCAGCCCTTACCTTACAAGAACTGTGAATTTTCTTCCAGTTACTTAAAGTTTCAAAATAGTGGACCTTGAGGAAAACATAAGTAATGTGATTACTCTGTGTTTCTGTATGTGGGCGTGTGCATTTGTATCTATTAAAATAAAAGCATCCTTCTTTAAGAAAACACAAATGCAAATACATGAGACAAGATAATTGAAGGGATGATTGAATTACCAAAACATTGTTTTTTTTTTTTACTTTGCAAAAGATTCAAATCAGACCCTTTAAATTAAATATAATTTTAATTTATATTTAAAATTACGTTACATGTAATACAACATAATTATATATTATATAATTGTGTCTTATAACCATATACTACATTAAATATTACTATGCAGTATTGTATATTAATGTATATGAGCTTCCTAACTACTTTAGATCAGATGTATAGTAAAATGAAGTGCCTTCAGTACATACTTTGGAAAATGATGCCACAGCTATAGCTGAAATGTTGGCCTTTGAAAACAGCGATTTGCAGCTTATAAGTATTTATTGGGAGATGGTTCGTATCTTAAAAAATGTCTTTAGAATTAGACTTAGAGGTGGCAGCCGCCATCTATTTAGCCCAGCTACACAACAAATGAAACCCTGGGGAATGGAACCTGTTTTAGATTCGGTTGCAGGAAACACTGTTTTTCTTTTTTTTTAAGATGTGTTGAATTATGTGGCGAAGTTTCTAGCTCAATCCTTCAAAAGAGAGTATGCCTCCCCCCAACCCCCAATCACATCGCCTCTTACCTTAATTTACTAAAGATAACTTACTCTCTATCAACCACCTATGTGTCTTGTGAGCCTTATTGATCCTCAGACATGTGCGATGGCAGTCCTTGGCTAAGATAAAATTGGTTTAATGGTACCCTTGCCCCCCACCCCTTGTTTTTCTAACGAATACTTAAGCATGCAGAGAACACTGCAGGCCCCTTTCCCAATGCGGAGAGCGTTGTCTGGGCAGCTTACAATAAAAGACAACTCTTCCCACAGCCTCATCAATACCTTGATAGCTCTGGGCTAATGGAATCTTGTGACTTTCGGTTCTCATTGATAAGAGACCTTGCTACAGACATTGATGAGTAGGACATTCTCTGCCTGCACACGCTTCTCCTTACAGCTTGTCCCTAGAACGCGTTTTCAGGAGGGGGTCAAAGCTGCTACATTTCCGGCTGTAGCTCTTTCTTCCCTAAAGTTGGAGAGAAAATCATTTGTTTTGTTTGGTGATCATATGCATTTGTTTTTCTCTCTCTCATTCTGCTACAAAATCAGAGGGAATTTCCTCAGATCTAGAAAAAATTTTCATTCCTAAATGGAAAATGTTGACGTTTGTAAATCCATTTCTTTAAAGATTTAAGTAGCTTGTTTTTTTTTTTTTTTTCCTTTGTTTGTTTTGAGACAAGGGCTTGCTCTGTTGCCCAGGGTAGTAGAGTGCAGTGGCATGATCATAGCTGCTCACTACAGCCTTGAACTTCTGGGCTCAACTGATCCTCCCTCCTCGGCCTCCCAGAGTGCTAGGATTATAGGCGTGAGCCACCATGCCCAGGCTAGATTTTCTTTTAAAAAAAAAACAGTGGCCAGGCTGGGCGTGATGGCTCACGCCTGTAATCCTAGCATTCTGGGAGACCGAGGTGGGTGGATCGCTCGAAGTCAGGAGTTCGAGACCAGCCTGAGCAAGAGCGAAACCCTGTCTTTACTATAAATAGAAAGAAATTAATTGGCCATCTAATGTATATAGAAAAAAATGAGCCAGGCGTGGTGGCGCATGCCTGGAGTCCCAGCTACTTGGGAGGAGGCTGAGGCAGGAGGATTGCTTGAGCCCAGGAGTTGGAGGCTGCTGTGAGCGAGGCTGATGCTACAGCACTCATTGTAGCCTGGGCAACAAAGTGAGACCCTATCTCAAAAAAAAAAAACAAAAAAAAAACAGTGGCCAACATTAGTGAGTAGCCACTACATGGGAAGTGTGTTACTAGGCATTTTACCTACATTACCTGACTTGATCTTCCCAGCAACCTGATAGGATGAGGCAGAACTAATATGGTCCACACTTTATGGAACTAATTTGGTCCACACTTTATGGAATGTGCATTGAGGCTTGAGAAGATTAAATACCCAGCCCAAGGTCAGCTGCCCAGTCAGTGGTGGGTGGGGATTGCAATCCAACTGTGATCCCAGTGTTTGGGGAGCTCACCCTTTGAGCTTTCAGGAGTGCTCTGTCTCTGGTGGGTGTTTAATGTTACCGAAAGCTGTGTTCTGGGAATAAAGCTGATGTCTTGACTGACAGTGCTCAGCAGGGCTCCGCTCCATTCATGTTAGGAACTTTAACCAGAAAGGACAACATTAAGCCTTGATCCAAACGTGTGGCGTTGCCAAAACGGCTAAATTATGCAACCGAGAGATCTGGCAAGACTTGATCTTGCAACTCCATTTTGAAATATTCTCAATACAGGGGTTTTGAATAATATCACTTGTGTTTTTTAAATACCTTTGCGTTGCAGCAAGCTGCCCTACTTCAAGGGCTGAGGATCACGGAGTTTCCCATTTATTAATATGACCGTTCCGCCTCCTCATCTCTGATCACGATTTAACCTGTTTGGGTCAGTTTGGCATTACTTATTTTTCTCACTGGCCAGAAACAACAGGGTGCGCTGAGGCACTGTGAAGACCTAGTATTTGGGGGACTGAATGTGGATTTAATTCCTAAAGAGGAAGCCTGGTGAAGGTCCCCAGAAAGACGTTTGAAAATGAGAGAATGGTGAAAGAACTTTGTAAAAATATTACGGGGGACTTTGAGATTTAAACTGTGACTGCTTGTTTTTTTTTTTGGCTACAATTTGCTTTGTCTCTTTCTCTAGGGTCCTGCTAATTTCTCTTGTTTCTTAACAGGTTAGGTTCCCGAAGGATGTTCAGAAGCCCCAAGTATTGAGAACTGTCAGCGTCAGCTGTTGGCGGTGAGTGACACCACCACTTTGTCCCACCTTGGTGTGTAGTTATGCTGTTGTCTATACATAAAGTTCATAAATAAAGGCGCTCGATTCTTGCGACCACCAGTTGGAGTTGAGAACAGGACAGTCTAGAAGGCATTTGGGACTTCTGTTTCACGTCGAAGACGCCCCCCACCCTGTTACTTTGTTTAAAGAAAAATCTCGACCGTTTGCTAATGGCAGGTTTTCTCTAGAAGCTTCTATAGGGTAGACGACTAACCAATAGCTAATTAATAAACATCCTTAAATAGAAAAAAGAAAATGGATTAGATGGTAAAAAAAAAGAAAAAAGGGTAACCTTGGAGAATGAAAGCATGGTTTACAGGGAATGTGAAAAAGGTTCTGGGAGAGAGGGTTGCGGGAGGCATTCGTGGGAAGGGCTGCCCTTGGGAAGCGAGAGTGGCCGTCACCTCTCATTATGGCCACTGGGTGTCACTCCAGGCAGCCCCTCAGCAGTCAAGGTTAAAACACTAGCAAGGGGACACGGCAAGAGGAGCCAAAGGGAAATAACGAAGGGAACAAGAAAAAAGTGTCTAACTCTCTCAATACCCATCAGGATTTTGAATGAGAGGGAAGAAAAGCACAGTGCTAAAAATAAATGGCGTCAGGGGGCATTCCGTTTTGGAGTGAAGCTGGGGATCTTTAACATTTAGAAGCCTATGCCATCCCCCTCGGGTTAGTTCACGGAGGTGAGGGCACGGGTCAGACCAAAATCCAGCTAGATGTCCATTAATAACAGCGTGCTATTAATATTTGTAATGATTTTTTTTTTTTGGTCCATACGGCCTAATTGCTTTCCAGAAAGGTCGTTCCATTTTACACTCAACGGGAAGCATTTTTTTTTTTTCACCATCTGTTTCCCTGTGGTATTGGCAGTGTGCAGGAGCGGATTACCCCAAAGTATGACCTGCGTACTTGCCTCTGCATTTTCATTCTGGCCAGGTGAGGACAGGTGAGGGGGGCAGTCAAGATGGTGCCTGCCAAGCTTGGCTGCACACTGGACTCAACTTGGGGAGCAGTTTGACATCCCTCGCCATTCCTCTCTCCCTATTTCGTCTGATAATTGGGTACATCTGATCCTTCTTTACATCTAGACACTTGTTCTCTGTCTTCCCATGATTCAATTCTAATGTTGGGTGGGTGTCTGGTCTGGGAGTGGTGAGATTAAGAAGCAGAGGAGGAGGAGGAGAGTAGATTAGGTTAGCTGTCTTCTCTTCTTCTGCCATTGCCTTCCTCAGCAGTGGTGCCCACAGGCTGAGAGGCAGACCCGGTGGCACTGTCCTCAGCCACAGCTCCACCCCACCTCCCCAGAGGGCTGTCTTCTGACTGGCGCGGTGCCTCACGCCTGTCATCCCAGCACTCTGGGAGGCCGAGGCAGGAGGATCGCTCAAGGTCAGGAGTTCAAAACCAGCCTGAGCAAGAGCGACACCCCGTCTCCACTAAAAATAGAAACAAATTAATTGGCCAACTAAAAGTATATAGAAAAAAATTAGCCGAGCGTGGTGGCGCATGCCTGTGGTCCCAGCTACTCGGGAGGCTGAGGCAGGAGGATTGCTTGAGCCCAGGAGTTGGAGGTTGCTGTGAGCGAGGCTGATGCCACGGCACTCTAGCCCTGGTGACAGAGTGAGACTCTGTCTCAAAAAAAGGCTGTCGTCTTTCTCATCTGCAGTGTCAGTCCCAGCTCCTATTTTTTTCTGATGCTTAGAGAAACTCACCATTTCTCTCTATCAACATCTTCATCTTTTTAAATGAAGAGTATAAGTAAAAAAAAAGAATGAAGGAAGGAGCTTTCTTTTATTATAAAAATAATATATCTAGTTTTGGGAGACCTCAAAAACATAAAAAAAAGGAAAGAAAAAAGCATTTCCTGGTATTTATTTAGCTTTAATTAAGGCAACATCAAGCTCTCCTACTTTTTCCTCATTCGTGTGATTATCATTTGCCACATTTATTTTTTATTTTAGTGTATTATGGGGGGGGTACAAGTGTTAACGTTACATATATTGCCCATGCCCCCCTCCCCATGACATGATTTTTGATGGCTACCTAATATTGATTGAGTCGATGCATGGTAATTTAAGTATTTTTTCACTGCTGGACATTTATGTTCCTTCCATTTCCCCATTTTATCAATGACCAGTATATTTGTTATCTATTGCTGTGTAACTAATCACTATAAAACTTAGTGACTCAAAAGGACAATCATTTACTATCTCACAGTGTCTGTGGGTCAGGGGTCTGTGTGCAGCTTAGATGGGTTCCCCTGGCTCAGGGTCTCAGCTCTGGAGTCTTGTGTGCCCCGGGGCTGCAGTCACATCAAGGATCTATTAATACTTGAGGTCACAGGCGTCCTCCAACTGGGGCCCACGGGCCACATGCGGGTGTTTCTGCCCGTTTGTTTTTTTACTTCAAAATAAGATACGTGCAGTGTGCATGGGAATTTGTTCATAGTATTTTTTTCTTTTTTAAATATAGTCTGTCCCCCCAACAGTCTGAGGGACAGTGAACTAGCCCCCTGTTGAAAAAGTTTGAGGACCCCTGCTGGGAAGATTCACGTTCAAGCCCACTAAAGGAGGCTGTCGGCAGGCCTCAGGGCCTCACCAGTTATTGGCTAGGGAAATCACATCCTTGCCATTTGAGCCTCTCCATAGGGCAGCTCACAGCATGACAGCCAGTAAATGGACCAATGAGAGAGTAAGAAAGAGAACCGGAGACAGGAGCCACAGTCTTTTTTTTTTTGAGACAGAGTCTCACTTTGTTGCCCAGGCTAGAGTGAGTGCCGTGGTGTCAGCCTCGCTTACGGCAACCTCCAACTCCTGGCCTCAAGCGATCTTCCTGCCTCAGCCTCCCGAGTAGCTGGGACTACAGGCATGCGCCACCATGCCCGGCTAATTTTTTCTATATATATTAGTTGGCCAATTAATTTCCTTTCTATTTATAGTAGAGACGGGGTCTTGCTCTTGCTCTTGCTCAGGCTGGTTTTGAACTCCTGGCCTCGAGCAATCCTCCCGCCTGGGCCTCCCAGAGTGCTAGGATGACAGGTGTGAGCCACCGCACCTGGCCCAGAGTCTTTTTCTGATCATGGTATCTCCCCTGCCAGGGAAGTATCCAAGGTGTTTTTGTAACCTCGCCTTGGGAAGGGATGTCCACATCATCCCCTCTGTCCCATTCTGCTCACGAAATCCAGCCCGCACTCCAAGGAGGCAATAGCCCGAGCATGTGAATACCAGGGGACTGGATCTTTGGGGACCACCTTGGAGCTGACCTTCCATAATAAGAGAGTGAACATTCCATGCATCTCTGAATATGATTACTATTGTACACATATCACTGGAATTTAGTGTGTTTCCAATTTTTTAAATATAACAATTGACGAAAAGGACATTTTATATTTATGTTATTGAACATTTTGCATCACTAAAATTTTTTACAAAGCTTATTGAACATTTTATGAGAGTGCACAGCATTGAGTGACATCCTTGATAGATTTCTAACAGTACAGTATTTATGTTTTTAAGGAATTTGGTCTCTATTGCCCAATTGCTTTCCAGAAAGGTGGTATTATTTTACGTTAAATGGAGAAGAACATTTTCCCCCATCTGCTTCCTTGCAGTATCAGCAGTATATACCGTGTTTCCCCGAAAGTAAGACCTGCCCATAAAATAACCCTTAGCAGGATTTCTAAGCATGTGCATAATAGAGCCCTGCCCTGAAATCAGGCCTAGTGGTGGCGTGGCTATGAAAATCAGCCCTGGTGATGGCGTGACTATGAAAATCAGCCCTAGTGGTGGGCGTGGCTATGAAAATCAGTCTAGTGTTGGGCGTGGCTATGGAAATCAGCCCTGGTGATGGGCGTGGCTATGAAAATCAGCCCTAGTGACGGGGCGTGGCTGCGCAGCGCATCTGCACAACCCATGCGTGCGTCGCTGAGCGGGAAGAACACAAGAGCCCTTCTCATCCGCCGCGTGAGAGCTCTAGTGCTCAACAGGAGAGATCGGGGCTGGGTGGCTCTAAAGGAAACAGAGTCGCAAGACATTCAGGGTGGGATTCGTGGTCTGGAGAGTGAGGATGATGTTCCAGAGGAAGTCGACTTCACTCTATTTGAATCAGTGTAGATGGTTGCACCGCACTTAAAAACAATAACACATGCCTGAAAATGTGCCCTAGGGTGTCTTCTTGAGGGAAAATAAATATAAGACCCTGTCTTATTTTCGGGGAAACACGGTATTTCTTAGTAAACTTCACAAGAGTTGAATACTCTCTTTAGAATAAGGAGGCAAGGAGAAGAAAAACCAAAACGAAACAATAACAAAAAACCAAACCAGACTGGATTCAGTTTTGGAGTAGATTAAGAAAAGTGAAAAACACAATTAGGGTAGAGAATTGAGAAGATCACTTCTTGCAAAGTGAGAGGAAAACAAACGAAGCAGTGCTAAAACTTCCCTGGGCATTGTTTGAGTCCCTGGCGTGCTGCTGGGACCCCAGCCATTTGATACTGGCAGAAATCTTCAGTCCTTCAAATTTTTACTCCAGTTCTTCAGGGACCTGTGTGAAAATCTCCTCCTTTTGGCCCTGCCTTTCCCTGTGCTGACATGGAGACCACTAGTAATTTGAAGCTGTAGAGGGAAGAGAGGCTCTGAAAATAGGAGTCTTGACCTCCACTGCCCGGCAGACAGAGGAAAAGAGCAATTCAACTATAGCAGGAACCATGTGTTTGTAGAATTCCATGTTGGCATTTGTCTTACTTAGGAATGCTTTGGGCTGCATGTAGCAGCAAACCTGACTAACACTTATGATTGCAACATACTCATTTATTAACACACTTAAAAAGAAGACTGGAGGTATTTGGTTGCTGGAGTTGTTGGTTTGGCTGCTATCCACTGTTATCGTGGAGCTCAGCTCTTTCCATCCTTCTGCTCTGCCATTCTTGGTGGGTATTTTTGGCTTTGTGCTTACTGTCTCCTTGT